TACGCTGTTCTTGCCACAAGTATCAGGTACTGAAAAAAGAACTTATTTTGACATTTGGGAGAACAAGCATACATCAATTAACTTGATTATTCTGATTACAAGCCTACATTCTCTTTCTCCAAAGCAAGCCATAGAAACATGACATCTGACTTATAGACAGGGTTGACCTATAATTGCTCCTTTGGGCTAGGGACAGAAGTTACACATAAGCCGATTTAAGTGATCAGAAACTGGTTTAAATCCATAACAAAACAGAAGCTCAGTGCACATAAACCAGTTTCAAAATGGCCAAAACTGGTTTACAATACATTTGGTGGAATGTAGTATCAGACCTAATTGATTTGGGTCAAATTTCTGTCCCAGACTCCTTCCTGGTTTTAAGTTAAATCAGAGTTCCCCAGCTTCCCAGGAGGGCTGTGTTCTCTTCTCCAGAAGGCAGGGCTGGCCCTGCCCCTCTACTCTCTAGCCTGAGCAGGGATGGGGGCATGGTCCCGTTAAGGAAAAGTGGTCAGGGAGGAGGTTAATTCTTCCTTCCACTCCTTTCCCCACAACCTGCCGCAGCCAGGGTCTGCCTGTCTGTGGGCGAGCAGGCAGCCAGGGCTGCCAGACCCCAGATGTGGTCCCTGGGGCCAGAAGGACCAGAGGAAGAAATTAAACCCCTCCTTACCCCCTTAGCCTTAATGGGGCCATGGCAGGACAGTGTCTAGCCATGCCCCCCTCCTCTGCCACTGGAGCAGCAAGGGGAAGGGGAGGAGGTGGGGCAGTAGCCTCCGTCAGGGTGTCCCAGGGAACTCAACCATGGAGGAGGTTTATTCCCCCTTCCCTTCCCTGTCCCACTGGCAGACACCGCAGCTGTCCCAGCATGACCCCATTAAGGCTAAGGGGCAGGGAGGGAGTTAATTCCCCACCTCCCTCCACTCCCACTTCTGGTCTGAGCCATTGTAGGCATGTGTCTACATTTCCAGAATGAAAAGTGAATGTCTATCCACTTGCAAATCGGTTCAATCTCTACAGGTTAGACTAACCTGCAGAGACTGAACCAATTCAGGCTTGGACTTTTTGGATGTCTGTCCCTAGCCTTACAGGCTTGGCTTTTGTCCTTGCAGTATCTCTGTTTATGCAGTAAAAATACAGAGCCAGAATTTTTTCACTTCAGTTTTTATTTGATTATTTTCAGTGAATTTAACCCTTTCGGTCCTTTCCTTTGTTTTGTGATTGTTCTGTGGAATTTATAAGAGCAGTGCAGGGGCTTTATCTGTATTAAACACACAAAACTTGTGTTCAGGGAAAAAGCTGTTTTTCCAAAAACTGAACCTGGAATATGGGGCTGCCTTATATCTAGAACAATGCAGTTGTCAGGCAATTAAATAAAGCCAATTTAAATTTTAAAATTATGTTATTATGGTGCACAGGAATATTGAGGTTATAATCAATCAATATTGAGGTTAATATTTGTTACTTTAAGATATGTGATTGCATTTTCAGGAATCTCCATTTGGATTTGTAATCATTAACTACGCATTTTGATAAAGAATGTGTTTATCAGGCCACCATCTCCTATAACATCCTTTATAAAATCCTGATAGATTCTATCTCAAGTGAAGTCCCAGGTCAGTGTCAACATACTGCAGCCATTCTATTTATTTATTGGAGTTTGGCTCAATAGTAGAACTCTACATACTCCTGGTACATGTTCTGGGAGAGATTTATGAATGTTTGGAACTACACTGTGTTCACAGACTTTATACAAACTCTTCTTCTCTACCTACACCACAGACTCCACTACCTAATATCATGCATTGTCCTCAGCCAGTTTGCCAGACTCAAGTGCAAGTTACACTACCTGTGGTTTGTCAAATGCTCTGCTAGCCAACATTAATTCATTAGCAAGGGCTAGCTGCTAATAGAGAAGCAGAGCAAGTAGCTTGCTCCTTACTGAATGTCAGCTATTAGCTCACTTCATCCCTTGTGCCTCTTTTGAGGCTGAACTGGCTATGAGTCCCAATAAACACAGGGAGCTCACCACACTGGAACTTGTAGCTGCTGAACTGGATTGATAACCTGGGGTTTGGTTGCAGATTCCTACTACAGTCCCTCCAGTCAATTAGCGGCTCTCACCTCTTAAAAACTGGGTCTGCTTATCCTGCGAGTCATTCCGTAAGGCCGATGTAATAACACTAATCTCCCTCCACACCACTGGTTGGTCTGGGAAATTCACAAACCTGGGATAAAGTGTCAGACAAAAAAGTTAGAACTATTCCCAATCTATTTTAAAACAGAAGCATAGCTATGAAAGCATCAGTGTAGAGAAATGCAAAAAAGTGTTTCACTTTTCAGGATAGCTTTTGTTTTTTGAAAGACAGTAAGGTCCAATTTGTATCCAGACAAATGACTGATTGGGTCATAACAGCACTGAATCTTTGGACATTCTTATAAGAATGGTTTATGATAAAAGTATGATGCTGTGTTTCTAGAGCTCTCTGACTAGCTACATTTCAAATAAGCTTTCAGAAGAGAATTAAATAAAAAAAACCTCACTGTTACTTACATGTCATACAACAGTCTGCCTGCTGATGCTGTCCGTTCAGCATTCCTTTCAATAGTGTACATCTCATACTGCAATACACAAAAAGGGAAATTAGCTGAACTACATATTCTCATGTCCCTGCTTGGTTCTTCCAAACTTGAATACTACTACTAACTTGTTATACTATACCCATAGTAAAAAAGTAAAAAAAGCAGCTCAATGGGAAAACTAGCAAATGATTTCAAAATGTCCACAGCTACATAAAACTATTAATTTACCACCCCCAGTTTAAGTATTACTACCAGGGTGTCGCAGTGCACTCAGGTGCCCTGCGCCTGAGAGCGGAGACTGCCCTGGGGAGACCCCTCATGGCAGAAAGGGGGAGGCTCAGCTGCCAGTCACCAGGGCTGCACAGGTGCTGGTTGCCGGGACAACTGGTAAAACCAGCTGACCAGGAAGGGGCAGGGCTTATTCCTTCTTAAGCCCAGGTAGGAGGCCAGGAAGGCAGTCCCTCTCTAGCAGCCGTGGGAGTAGGGACTCAGCTCAGACAGACAGAGGGGAGGACTCTGGCCATGAGAGCATCCCTTGGTCACTGCTGAGGTTGGTGGAGCCCTTCTTCCCCCGCTCTCTAGTAGGGAGTAGATTTTTGTTTGACTGGACGGTCTAGTTTTATGTTTACTGTTTTGACCGGAGGACCGGGTGAGGCTGTTAGGGGTTGGAGGAGGCCTCATAGGGACTCCCCAGTAGCGTGGGGGTTCCTGGTGCCTGAGAGGACGCAGCATTTGCGGGGTGCAGTGGCCCAAACCCCAGAGAGAGAAGGGGGGCAGCGAGGAGCCCTGAGAGAGAAGGGGGCAGCGAGGAGCCCCAGGAGAGGGGAGCGAGGTGCCCCAGAGTGAGAGAGGGGGCAGTGAGGAGCCCCAGGAGAAAAGAGGAGGGCCAGAACATAACAAGGCCCAGGTCAGACCACGTTAACTCCATCTGTGAGGCTTGGGCTGCGGTGTAGGGGAGGAAAAGGAGCCACAGGTAGCGCCCCCTGTCACCGGGGAACAGAAAAATGGGCAGCCTCCCGCTGGTTACAACCATCTTCTAATCAAGTAAGATCAAGGCGTGGCAGGCAAGTAAGCAGGCGGTTGGCCCATTACAGGAGGGCGGAGCCACTCCCAGGAAGGCTCCGATATTGATACCCCGTCACACAGGGCTATAACTTTTTTTTTTTTTAATTTAAGCAAAGTAACACACTAAATTCCATCAATTACCCAAGCAGAGCTTACTCAGGGAGTTGCCTAGCCAAACAGGGTTCAGAACTATTTTTTGTGACAAACAAGCTTTTACCAAGCCCAAGACCAATGGAAAGAACTGATAATGTTAATGAAAGAAGCGTTATTTTCAAAACAGATAATCATTTCCAGCGCTGGAAACCCAAATGCAGCAGGACTGTGCTACTCCGCGAGAAGAAAAGAATAAAAGCGACTAAGCCAGTTATATAGTACAGGAATTAAATAGTATAGTCTCATCGTCTTTGCTTTGCGATATGCCAACAGTAAATTATGTTCTTAAAAACTTCTTGGTTTTCATTGTTAGAAAGTTTAGAAAAGGATGACATTTTCCCAGAGAAGGTGCCTTTTATTTTCAGTATAGTTCCTGCTGACAACCTGGGGATTATGACCAGAGATCCAGGTTTCCTTTTTCCCCACAGAAAATAGGGAAAAACTGCAGATTCTCCCTTTTACCTAAGAAAAACATGGGCTTTTCATTTTAAAAGAGAAACATGCAGATTTTGCTCTTTTTCAGAGAGCTCTCTGCAGGTTGGCAGAGTTGCAGCCTGCAAGGGACAAGGGGGAGTGGGAAGAGGGTGGTTAGGCAGGGGGTACCATGTGCACGTATGGGCACATAGCTGCCAGGCAGCCTGGAGAGCAGCTCCCGCAGGTAAGTTTGGTGGGGGTGGGGATTGAGGCCCCCATAGGGAGGGCAGAAGGGCTGGGGCCAGGGCTGCTGGCCAGCTGGGTGGTGCGTAGGGCTTGGGGCCCAGGGTTGCAGTGTGCGGCTGCAGGGCCCCAGCAGAAAGCAGGAAAGGGCCCATGGGTGACTGGTGCCTCCTGAGTTGGATGGGGGAGGGGAGGGAGGGGAAGACCTACCCCCCAGTGGCCAGTCAGCAATCAGGGGGTGGGGCCCCCCCCAGCTGATCCTGCAACCTGCAAGCGGCAGTGGTGCGCCGCTGGCACTTCTGAGCACATTGCTGACACTTCCGGGTGAGCGCAATCAGCCACAGGAGGACCACTTCTCCTGGTGCCCCCACTCCCTGGCCAGCACTCTTGGGGGGGCATCAGCGTTTTCACTTGCCCCTCCTGCCCAGGAATGCTGGCTGTCAGGGGTCCACCAGCACACTCAGGGGATGCACGTACACCCCCATGCACCCCCTCTGTGTTGCCACTGACTGGGCCACAAGTGGTTTGTGGGGGGGGATAGTTTTCCTCCACTGTGCGCACTCCCAGGGGAGCAGGAGGGACTCATGCCCCCCAAATCTGTGCACAGAGCGGGGGCAGGTTGCCTGCTGTAGGCTTGGGCTCCCCGCCCACCCTGCTGCCCTCTACCTCTGCCTCTGCAGCCCAGCAGGTGGGACCCAGAGTGGTAGGACAGAGCAGGGCCAGGAGGGGAAGCTTCTTGCTGCTACTGCAAGCCCTGCACTGTTCTGGCAACTTGCCTCCTGCTTGTCCCAGAGCAAAGGGAACAACATCATGCTGCTGCCCGCACTGTAGACCTGGGTCACTTGTTTCATACCTGTGGCAGCTGATGGCCCGCTCCAGCTGGGCTGGGGGATGGGCAGAGGGCTGCGGGTGGGGGGCGAGGGGCACCAGCAGGTCTGGGGAGGCTGTTGCTTGAGAGCAAGGGGCCTGGACCTGCATTCCAGTGAGCTAAGACAGCAGGGGGAGCTCTGATTTTCCATGATAAAAACCCCCAAAATCAAATACCATAATTTATAGGTACTTAGAATTTATTTTATTATAGCAATTGAATAGTGATTATAGCTGAATAAGTGTTTACACTCTTTGTTAAAGGAGTTCACGCTGACCCAGACTCCACACCTCTTTTCAGGTGCGCAGTGAACTACATGTGTTCCAGAAACTAGAGAACAATTTTGTTCTCATACCTTGGTATATTTAGTGTAAGTTCACAGTTCACACCAAGGAATTCACTTCAAATTTACCCTTTTGCACCTGAAAAAAAAAATCTAGACTATAAAATACAAGCATGGATGGTACTTCCACTGCCTTGTTCAGTGGTGTCCTCCAACCCATTCATGGTATTTTTTTCAGCTTCAGCATTAATGAAACCCATTGCAAAGTTAGGATGCAATCATGCAGACTGCAGCCATTCCCACAATGAGGCCTATGGAGCACTTCCTAGGGAACTGCAGAGTATAGCTGCCAGTTGCCAGACAGTACTGGATGTAGTAATTACTTTTCCAAGATTATGTTTCCATAGAAACAACAGCTATAAGTCTTATGGGAACATTAGTTGTTGATGAATGAGAAAGATGGTTGGTCTGCACACTTGTGAACAGGAGTAGAGGTAGTCTCTAACAAGTTCCTGATTCATGCATGACTCATGCTATGGAAAAGTTTGAGAACCCTTATTATAATATGTGCCCTCAAGAGAGTGGAGGCTCCCCTGGACATTAACTTTGCCATTTCCTGACTTCACCATTCTTCCTTCTGCAACTTTAATCCCAAGTCCTGCAAACACATGTGATCAAGCTTTGTTTTCAGCATGACTAGGTCTACTGATGGTGCACACATGCTTAAGTATTTGCAGGATCATGGCCTGTTCTCAATGTACGGTTTGATGGCGTTTTCCAAAAAATCTGGGGAAATTGACCCATGCCGAGTTCTGTGCTGCTGCATCGCAGCTGCTGCTAGTACTCAAGCTAACTTGGATACATCTATGCTACAAAGCAGTCACTTCTGTAAGAGGATCCCAGTCCGCTTGTCATTACCCCCTCCTCCAGAACCCTGCTGATACCAGATCCTGGTGCTTCCCCATTGCTTCCACCCCGATCCACTTGTCAATGTGCAGAATGAACTGGGATAATGCTCTGAGGAGGGGAGAATAGCAGAGTTAAGACTCAGAAAGTGTTTTGCTGGGAGAAGGGTAAAGTTAAGCAGATTTAAGCACATTTGAAATTCCATTGGGCAAGCAGCTTTTGGTGCAAGCTCCCCCACCTACATTCTGGCATGGTCCCAGTGAACCTTTACAAATAAGAACACTGAAGAATGCTCACTGACAATTGCACACAATTGCTTGGGGAATACAGACATCTCGCTTTTACTGTTAGCTGATTTCTGGGACAAACCTTTATCACTTCAACAAATCAAAGAAGGATTTTCATAATTCTGCACCTCAGAACACCCAAGTCACCATAGCTGCACCAGAATATTAGCAAAGCTTACTGAACTGACAAAACTTTCCTTCCTATTTCAAGAATGGACGAACTATCTGTAATGAGGCCCGTACCCCATCACTGAAGGAGAGGGGAGATAGGAATCAGCTGGCTGGCTCCAGCCTCCAGGAAAACTGATGGCAGAGGGCCCTTTAATAAAATGGCTGCTCCCTGCAGGTGTTGCCAGTGATTGACAGGCCTGGGGCAGAAGTAGTGGGTTAGGTGACCCAGAGAAAGGCATGTAAGCCCAGGGCCTGACACAAGGTGGGCAGTCTGACCCTACAGGCTGCAAAAAACAGGGCTCTGGGGAGGAAAGGGGCCTGAGTGGCCAAGGACAAAGGACTCCAAGTTCCAGGGAAGCTGCAAGGAAGCCCCTGCACCACCAAGGAGCAGAAAGGTATTTGGAGACCTTCTGTTGTAGCTCATTGCATGATGTGGTGTTGACCCACAGTTGGGGAACTTTTTGTTTGAGAGCAGATTCTCGTATTTTGTCATTTGTGTTTAAACACTACTGGACCAGATTGTGGGTGTAGGAGAAGCAGCCATCAAGAAGGATGTCAAAGGCACCCCAGGTCCTAGACCAGGGTAGGCAATTTCAGCTGGAAGGCCGCTAAACCAGTTTTGATGAGCTGTGAAGGGCCACAAGGATAG